TTCTGGTCACGCTCAGTTCGAATGACTACAAATATAGTATATATGCTTGGACAGGGTGAATCAGAGTCGTTGAACTAGCTTTTTATCCTATGAGAAAATAATTGACTGCACACTTATTCAATTAGATATGAAGTCGATAATTTTCTCTCTTAAAAGGCAAATTTATCCTCGAAAGGTAAAAAGTTGATTCAACGAATCAGATTTATTTATAATGTATGTACACACACACACACACACACACACACACACACACACACACACACACACACACACACACACACACACACACACACACACACAAAAGATGTTTGATGAGTAACGATAAAATTCGCATAGGGGTAGAGAGGACTAAACTGAATTAAAAGTCCTTTACCATTTTACTATTTTCGCAATAGTTAACAAGATATTAATTACTAAAAATCGAAAAATATTGATTTTCAATAATTTTTAGTAATTGATATTTAATTATAGCGAAAATTGCAAAATGAGACTTTCAACTCAGTTTAGTTAGACTCGATTTAGTTTAGTCCGCTCTACTGCTAAGCGAACTTTATATCAAATACTCTACATAATTCACATTGAATTATTTAATCATTAAAAATCCAGCTTCGACCGTTATAAGCATTTAATTTCTAATTCTAATGTAAAACTCTTAAAAAATAATTATCTAAAAAATTACGATCTTAATGAATTAATATTAATGAATTAATACAATTCTACAAATTAAAATTATTAGGTGTACAACTTTGCTTCCGCCGTTTTCCTATAGATGGCTTTAGGCGGTAAGTGATGGTCGAAATAAATAGATCATAGACGTCATACAATAAACTTGGGCATCTGTCAACATAACCCCATAGAAACATTAATCGATCTGCATCATAAAGTTATTCTCGATTGAAAATGTCAGTTTACGAGCCAAATTCTCGTTTGCGGGAGGTTTTAATTTTTTGTTTCAATATGAAGAAATCTGCGGTTGAGGCTCATCGAATATTCTCAAATACATATGGTGAGGCCGCTATTAGTGAAAGAACGTGAGTGGTTTCAACGCTTCAAGAACGGTGATTTTGACGTCCAAGGTCATGCTCTGTATTTGATGGGACCAGCTCGGCGTAGTGTATTATGAACTGTTAAAACCGACTGAAACAATCACAGGCGATCGGTATCGAACGCAATTGATGCGTTTGAGCCGAGCTGGTCCCATTGAAAGACAAACGGCCGCAATACAACGAGAGACATAATAAAGTGATTTTGCAGCATGACAATGCTCGACCGCATATTGCGAAAGTGGTCAAGACATACTTGGAAACGTTGAAATGGAAGTCCTACCCCACCCGCCGTATTCTCCAGACGTTGCTCCCTCAGACTATCACTTGTTTCGATCAATGGCACACGGTCTGGCTGACCAGCATTTCCGGTCTTATGAACAAGTAAAAAATTGGATCGATTCGTGGATAGCCTCAAAAGATGACCAGTTTTTTCGACGCGGGATTCGTACGCTACCCGAAAGATGGGAGAAAGTAATGGCCAGCGATGGACAATACTTTGAATCATAAATGTATAACCAGTTTTTTACAATAAAGCCTCGAATTTCGGAAAAAAAACGGCGGAAGCAAAGTTGTACACCTAATATATTATAATAAAAATTTATAATTATTATTATAATTGTGACATAATTTTAGTTCCGAATAAAGACGTTTTAATTTTTTATTAGAGAGTTTTTGCAAACGTGAATTTAGATACAACTAAAATCATGTTATCCTTTTCTTAATTAGTTGTTAAAAAGAAGATAATCTGATTTTAGCGTTCTGATTTAGCGTATCTGGGTAAACAATATTGCAAACACTCCCTATTATTGTCAAAACCACTAATAATGGTTTGCCACTTTAATTTGTAACAACATAAAACAATATTCTAATACTAATATTGAAAATTAAATTTTTAGCTGTTCGACTTATAATTACGTTGTTACATAATAATATTCAACGAATTATAATTATGTTAAGACATAATAAAAAAATAAATAAAAAAAATTCTACTATTCTAGAATTAAAATTATATCCTGACATAATATGATAATTTTTATTAATCTCTTACATAATAATAATTTATTTAATTAAAATTGTGTCTAAATTTGTTCTAAAATCCTTCATGCCGAAGTAAACTTTGAGTAATTATTATAAATAGATCATTTTATGGTCTGTCATCAAAAAAATAAGACCTTTTTAAAACTAGTCACTATTTATATAACAGTCCTTTTCAGAACTAAATAATATTTTTCAGATATTTAGCAAAATATTACAAATTGTTTTTCAGACCTACTAATATTCTTAGATTCCAGGACATTTCTTTTTTATAAAAATAAATAAAATATTCTTCCTTCTTTAAGTAATATTCTATAAAATAGTGAATAGCAATTCTGTTCAATATTATACAGAGAAACTAAATGTTTCTTTAAAAAAAGATATCTTACGTCATTTTTTGACACACTTTACATATTTCCTATTTTATATATATGGAGTTATGTGTAGTTGATAATAAATTTTTTTTAATGTTTCTTTTAAAAATTATTTTAGTGTAACTCATAGACAAGAGCATTCATAGGAAGATTCAAACTGCGTTCCACTTAATGCTCATAACACTCATGGAATTATTTCATTCTTATCATTTTATCAAACGTTAAATAAGGATAAACGATACTCGCAAGCATTCAGTGAAAACCTCAGTAATCTGTTTCTACGGGTTAAAATCTATGGATTAACACAAAGATTTCTGATTAAATAGATTATTATTTAGATATAATAATTTAATATAAAACGAAGTATTATTTTTCGTACATATTAGCGTGCTTTGATGTGCTTTGAAGTGAATAAGCTTGTCTTATTTTCTGTTTCATTTCACTTCTTAATATTCCTTTATCTTCTGTAAATTTTTTAAAGAAATGGATTTTTAAAATAATAAAGTCATCTGGAATGTTAAATAGAACAATTTTCACCCAATTTTCATAAGAAAATTACAGAAAAGATAACTTAAGACATAATTCAATTTAAAAGTATCAACAAGAAAAAAATGTGTTTATATTATATATTTATATAAATATATTTATATAAATGTATTATATATAAAAGAATTTAGAATTTTGAATTTACTAGAACATATTTTAAGTCAATAATTTATGATTTCCCGTCATATCTGAAAATTTTTTATGAACTTTACAAATTTCATAGCGTCAATTAAAAATCGTATACAAAGAAATTTATAACTTTTGAAAGACTGAATCTTTATTTTTAATTTGCATATTTATAATATAAGCGTTGTATAATTTTTTTTACGAAATATATTTAATAATGAAGTGACGTCTTTTTTACTTTGACTGCTCATAGGAGACGAATGGATTAGCATTCTTTGAAATGAAAACGAAGGAAGATTTCAGTTTTCTCTTATGAAGGTGTACTATTTTTTTCGATATAAAGAAACTTTTCATTTGTAAACTTCGTTTAAGTAAAACTAAAAATTAAACAATTGATACATATTCAATCTAACGTATTTTTACTTTAATATAAAGATTACATTTCTTATATCATATAAAAATTCTGAACATTATTCCATTCGTCTTCTATTCTTAACAGACACTTTTTGTTTTAATGTTGAATAACTTGGTTGGAAAAAAATCATATAATATTCAAGAAGCATGCCAATTAAAGATCCACTCTTTTAAAAGCTATAAACTGCTGTTATGCGCGATTTTTAATTCATGTCAAACTTTGTAAAATTAGTAAAAAAATTTTCACATTTCACAAATATTTATTTTACAAAAAAATAAGTCAGATCATTAGTCTATTCCATAGCCCTACTTTAAGAGGCCTATAAACCGTAAAACCGTAAGACATTAATCAATAATAGTTGATTATTTTTCTCATATTCAGCTGCAGTTGATCATTTTGTTACGGCTTTACGACTTACGATCTCTTAAAATAAAGTTGTTAAAAACTCTTGAAAGGTGCCTATTTTTGGAAAATAGAATGTGTGATTCTTGATTATGCCCCATTTTTGGGCATAATGTATTTAAAAATAAATCGTGTGTGCATACGTGTATCCATTCATGTGCGCGCATGCATACCCATAATCGAAATGTTTTAAGGGGTTATAGGAGTGTAGTGAATTAAAGACTAAAGTACTCTTCAACATCATATAAAATTTTTATTCAAAAAGATAGACCATTAACGTTTTTTCTTGGAAAATCATTTTTATAATAAGATTAAAATTATATAATAAGACAAAAATTAATATAACGAAATTATGAAATAATATTGAAATAATAAACCGTAATGACGTCCTAAATATTACAATCCGCGCGGTGCATAGTAGCTAAGATTTTAGCTTTGCTAAATTATTTTGAAATTAAAAAAAGATTTTTTAACTGCAGATTTTATTTTCTATTTTAAGAAGAAATTTTAAAAAACTTTATTTTTCGTGAAAATTAGTTATATTTAAACATGAGAACTGCGTTTTTCTTGAAAAATTTTTATTTAAATTTAAATTTTTAACTTGAAGAAAAAATTAAAAAGTGTTAGAAAAGCCTTCGTGAATCGATATGAAATATTTCTAAAAATATTGCTTTCAAACTTCAAATTTTTTACTTAAACGATATTCACATTATTTATATCAGCTATATTTTGATAGTTTCCAAAGGCAAATGGAAAAAAAAATGTTTTTGTATATTTTTAAAATTCCTTTTTAGATGTTTGAAATTCTTTTTAGATCTTTGGAATTGTTAAAATCCTATAACCCTTTAATAGATGACGATTTACAAGGTTTCTCACCTTATCATAGTTTTTTCTCGAAGCTCGAATATCATAAAATTGCAGCACTTTTGACAGTTTTGTAAGTAAAAATAGCGATTTAGGGTCAATCTGCATCCAGAGGACAGTCGGCGGTATCCGCGTTATTTTCTTCTACCTTTTCAGTAAAAACAATTGACCAGTGACAAAAACCTGCTTCAGCCAGAACCGACGGCTAATCAATCGACTCCACCAAGAGCAACGAGTAAAATCCACGTAACAATGGCAAAGCTGTCGGACTTTACGGAGGATCCTTTTCGAGACTACCGTTATGAAGATCCTTTCAATATAACGGACCCATTCGCCGATGAGATGACAGAGGACTTGAACGCGAACGAGAACAAAGGGACGAACAAAACAGATCCTTTTGGTTTTGAGTCGATTTCTGCATTTTCGAGTAAGAATACTTCAGCTAAAATTTTCGATAATAATTTCTCTAATACTTTTCCGCTCGCTAAAGCAAAAGCCGAGAAGAACAATGTAAGCGATACGAGTAGCGCAAGCAAGTTCGACGTCGATTTTGGAAAAGCGTTTTCCATTGATAATAAGAATATTCAGGATATTGATTTTTCTCAAGCATTTGCTAATGTCAAATCAAGAATGATCAATCTTGACGAAGCGTTTTCAACTAAAGACGCAAAGACCATCGCAAGGCACGAGTTAAATATAATGCGCATTTCAAAGTCTAATATCACTTACAACGATGACAAATTTACGAACAATTTCGGAAAGATATGGAGCGGTAATAACGTAACTAATTTATCGGAGGAGGAGCAACTGGCGTGGGCAGAAAAGCAGAGTATAAAAGCAGAAGAAGAGAGGCTCAGGCGTAAAGAAAAGGAAGACGCCGAACTAGCTCTCGCTCTCGAACTAAGTAAACAGGGGAAATCGGAAAATGTTTAACCTTTAATGAATAATATTATCTCTTTTTTTTATTGATATTATCGTTAACTTGTTAAATTGTATGAAAAAGTTTTGTATTTCATAATAAATGACATTGTGCAAGTTTACATTATTATGCATTAGCATAATCACGTATAGAAGCGAAATGTAGACACAAGTTATCAGATTGACAATAATATCGGGTAAACAGATATTAAAGAATATACTCGAATGAAAAAGAGAAGTTATCATGAATGTTATTATATGTAGACAGATGATTTTCGGTTGAGTGTAACTTTGAAATGTCACATATCTCTCAATATTTTTCAAATTGTTTGGAAAAATTTATAAAAAGGAGACTTATTTTTTCATATCTTTATTTTTTTTTCTTGGTCATAATGATCGACTATTTGCACATGATTAAACGATCCGAGGGTGTTACACGACTTTTCTGAGTTACAATTATAAATGTACGAATGATAATAAAAATAAATATGAAAAGTTCAAGTTGTAAAAGTTATTCGATTAAAGCACACAATAATATAGCATCGTTAAAAGTATCATTATTAATATATAAATGCCTATATAGTAATCGAATATTACAAGATTTCGAATATTATGATATTTGTCATTGTTAATTCGGCATACGAAAATCTAAGTCATGAAGTTTACTTCGCGCCAGCCTTTAATAACTTCATGTAAGAGAGAGAAAAGAAAGATATGTATACACACACACACACACACACACACACACACACACACACACACACACACACACACACACACGCACGCACGCACACACACACACACACACGCGCACACACACACACAGAGTTTCCTATTTTAATTTCCCTAAATCGGAAAATATAGATACGGAAAAAAACTTTCAAGGTCTCTTTCAGAGTTCCACAACTTACGATTAACTCTTAACCGAGATTTAACTTAAAATATGTTAAATCTCGGTTAAAAATTAAGCACGAGTTATAAAGCTGAACCTAAATCAGCCCCATATAAACATCGGTTAATTTAACCGGATTGGTGAAAGAGACTCTAAGATGAAAGTGGAATGGTTTTTAAGGGGAATGTATTTTGGTCATATTATTTCTTTTTCTAGGTGCCAAAAAGATATGAAGGTTATATGATTTTTTAACATAATATAATTCCTCTAATTACATTTTCTACTTACACGGGCCGAAAATTTAGAGGGAGTTTTGAACTTTAAAAGATGTTTTCGTAGGATTTTGATGCGTTGAAAATAGACTACGTTGTCCGCTTTTTTTTCCATTATCCTCTATTTTTTAAATAATCGCAAAACCAGTTTTTTCCGAAAGTACCGTCTTTATTAATTTTTTCCAGCTAAATAAAAAATTATATTGAGGTCTGTTTTGCATTTAACTTAGAAATGTTCCAACAATACTAAAAATATTTTTTCGATTCTTATAAAAATGTTTTATGTAAATTGCAACAGAATATTTTGGAAAAATTGTAAAAAACTGGAAAAAATTGACAAAATTGAAAACCAAATAATTCAAAAGAAAAAAATTATAAAAAATATCTGACAATTTATACTTATAGCTGTATGTTTCTAGTTTAAATCTTTTTTCGAAAAATTAATTTCTGATCATTTATTCAGAAGTTATTGAATTTAAAGCGCCAAAGCAGCCCGCGCGTCACTTATGATATCCTCTCGAATTTGACATAGTCGAACAGGAGCATCTTGTGTAGTCTTTTTTGATCGTTGATTTTAAATCTGAAGTAAAAAATGTACAATTCAAAATGGCAGATCCAATATGAAGGACAAAAATTTTTAAAAATATATGAAAATCGATATTTAATAGTTTTATAAGTGATGTAGCATTGTACTGCTTCATGTTCCATGATGATTAACAACGCTGCATCTTTGTCAATTTGCGAGTGACATTTTACATTATGGACATTATACTTATATCATTACTTGCTAAGGAGGATTCCAAAGAGAGTCAAAACGTTCAAAATAAAGAAGACATCAATCTAATCTGATTATTAATTGTTCACTAAATAATTGTGCCGTTTATTGCTGACTCTCTACTATATTTATCTTTGTGTATTGTTTATTAAAATAAAAAAATTAACAGTTTACGAGATATTTAATATTTTATAATATGTGTTAGAAAAAAATATAACATATCTCGTAAATTGATTTTTTGATCTCTACCTTAATACTTTCACATATAAAATAATTAGAGGAATCATATTATATTTTTAAAAAATCATATAATATCATACCAAAAAAGTAGCCTTATATTTTTTTGATGCCTATAACTAGAAAAAATAATATAACTAAAATACATTCACTTCGAAATCATTCTACTTTCATCTGAACCTTATTCTGTATCTTCTATATTTTTTGAGATATTTGTTTCAGGAAATTAAAATGGGACAATCTATATGTATGTATGTGTATGTGAGTGTGTATACAAAATGTTTCACAATCGTCGTATAATACTTTTACAGCATCTTCTAGAATAAAAAACTCTAATACTAAAAAATCCTAATAAAATATCGAGATTAAAATAATTTGAAATATAAGCTAACTTTTAAGTAAAAACTTATAAGTAAAAACTATTTT